CATAGGCGGCAAAATTGTAGGGATTCCACTGCAGTCACTCAATCAGTCTGGATTACACATTGATTCAAAATCTATAGACCTGAACTCAGAACAGGCAACATTTGCTCTCACAGAACTACATTTTGCCTGCTCCAGGAGTGTTTGTGCAACTATAGTATTAACATCAGTGCAGTAATGCACTGTAGCACACCAGACAAATCTGAAGGGGGCCTCAAAGATGTTGTAGCTTAGCTACAATGAGCTAATGATTATTTCTAATTCCTGAACTTCAGATTACTTCTGGATTTGCTTAAAGCATCTGTTTTTAATGGTCTCAGACATAAAGAGGGGAATTTATCAAAACTGGAGCAGACTAAAACTGGAGCAGACTAAAATTGGAGCAGCTGTGCATGGCAACCAATCAGCTTCTCTTTTTCATTTTCAAACCTTAACTGAGCAAACAGTAGAGAGAAGTTGATTGGTTGCCATGCACAGCTGCTCCAGATTTAATACATTCCCCCCAAAGTGTATTACATTTGACTGTTGATCATCGTTTTCGAGTCATTACCCTTGTAAGGTTCTTATCAGCAAATCATCCTTGTTGACAAGGAATAACTCAGGGTTGGAAGTTTCATGTTTTGCTCTTGCTACCAACTCCCTCCTTTGCCCTAAGCAGGAGTGCAGTTTAGTTCAGGTTGAAACTGGCCCAGAAAATACTGTGCAATCTGAGATGCAGTGCATTGCACTGCCATACATCTAGAATGGCTCCCCAATTACCTTGCCCGTGCATCACAATGCACATGTGTATAAGCACATCACAAGGCAAAGCTGGGAACCATCTTTGGATTGTGGTGAGCTGCGTAAAAATACCAAAAGGGTCCTATTTTTGATGTGCAATAGTGCATTTGCAGCCCATTTATTTTACTGCAATAGGTGTGACGTGGACCTTATTGATCCAGTAGATCAGCTACAGTGAGCTAATAATCCATCATAACTTCTGAATATTAGATTACATCTGAATATACAAATAAGAGCTGATTTTAGTGATGTCAGACCTATTGTGTGTAATATTTCACTGTTGATGTTCATTTTCGGGTGATTGCCCTTGTAAGGTTCTTACCAATAAATAGTTCTTGCTGACAAGAAATAACTCAGGGTTGGACGTTTCAAGCTTTGCTCTTGCTACCAACTCCAGTGCTTGGAATGATGACTGAAAATATATGGTAAAAAAAAGATACATTTTTGTTACTAGTTAAGGTACTTGAATGTATTTTTAGGATGTAACTTCTGACTTTAGTGTCAATTTAATAGTATACAAGACCTTTTTATGGGAAAGTCAGTTTAGACAACCATGTAACATTGTGTATTTGTGTATCACTCGGCTGTGGATCCTCAAATCATCTCTGAATTGGTGCCGACACTGTCCTTCCTTCTGGAGGGTGGGTCCCTTTGTGTCTTGTAAAGTAGCCACCGCTCCAAGCTCGCTCCTGTGATGGACTACAATCTTACATTTAGTTTATTAATTTGTATTGAGATTGTAGTCCATCCATGTGT